CGCGCCCCTCGCCCCGCCCGCCCCGCTGCCGTGCCCCCTGCGCCTCCGGCCACGCATGCGGATGCTGAGGGTGCTCATTAATCACCCAGCACCACCAGGCCACGCGCGCGCCATCACCCCAGGTTACAAACTCTGGCGGTCCCTCGCGGCACCTCTTCACTTTCCCATGACCCCAGCACCACCAGGCCACGCGCGCGCCATCACCCCAGGTTACAAACTCTGGCGGTCCCTCGCGGCACCTCTTCACTTTCCCATGACTAATATAATTTGGCATTTAATGTAAAATTAACGTCCCCCTCCCCATGCAGCATGTCACCTGCTCCGCTTTGGTGCAGTAACGGCTTCAATCACCCGCAGGGGACGCATGGCATTTTGTTTCAGTCACAGAGCATAAGCTGGAAACACAGATATCGTTGTGTTCATGCTTCCCTTTAGAAAACTGTAATTTCAGTGTGAGTAGGGGCACAAGACGATGATACCAGGATTGTCATTTATTTAGTAAGGTACGTAAGGTTTGGTACCGTTCCCAAAATTCTTTCTGCCATTAAAAACTATGGTCCAGCTACTTCTAACAAGTGCCTGGGGATGTCACATCAACCGTGGGTCCTGCAGAAGCCGGGAGCCAACCCATGGGTGGGGAGCAGTTGGAAGAAAATCCAGGTTTTGTGGAATTTGTGTCACCTATCTAGTTTCAACCCATCAGAAAAATTTGTAAATTGTGATCGCAGCACCCTGCAGGCACGCTCCACATTGCATCACGAGCCACGGGGCAGAGGAGACGATGTCACCTCAGAATATTGGGACAACTGGCAGCACGAGGACTATGCCCCATCCCTCTGGTCCCAAGGAGCAGATTTGGATGCCTTCTACGGCACCCAGAGGACCCACCGGGTCACCAACCCGTCCTCTGGAATCCCAGAAATGTAGATTACAATATCGCAAGCGTGGGTACGGGAGTGGTGCACCCCAGTGGAGGTACCGGCTGCCCGTGCACTGCTCAGTGGGAGAAGAGAGGGCGAGAGCCCTCTGCGGGTCCCGCGGGCTATGGCTCTCTTCCGTAAGAACCATGGTGCTGCTGGACTCAAATGGTTCCTCTGCACTACACCATAAAGTAGCAACTGTCAAGAAATCATTGATGTAAACCACATATTTATGATGTTTGGTGGGACTCGGACTGGGCTTACTGGTTTGCAAAATGGCACAATATGACAATAATAAATAACAGCTGATATCTACGCGGAACGCCCTAGCCAAAGATCATGGGAACATGGAATTGTTGAGGTTGGCAAAGCCCTTGAAGCTCCCCCAGCCCAACCGTTCCCCTACCCCTGCCATCCCACCCCCAAACCCTGGCCCTCAGCACCGCCCCTGCCCGGCTGTCAAATCTCCCTAGGGGTGGGGACTCGATCCCACAGATGTCAGCCACCGAGCATAACCCGATTATTTCATCCAGCGTAAGAATGCACACAGGTAAAGGAGGCAAAACGTCCTCTGGTCAACTGTTCAGGGCCAAAAGTGACACCAGAGCTTTAGTTGCCCAACCTGTAGTTACCTGAACGGGAACGTGGTCAGGAAACCCAGGCCACAAGGCACAAGCTATGCTCACCGATACAACCCAAAACCAACACTAATCCTGCAAGACCATAGGAGTCATCCACTGCCAACAAAATAACTGGGAGAGCAAGAGGATCTGGGCCTAAAAAGAAAGGATGTTTCTCACGGATGCTGCGTTTCCCCTTTGATCCATCCGAGCACCATCCCAGCTGGATCCTCGGCAGGCGTGAGATGCGGCGAGGCCGAGCCCAAGGAGCACGGGCGAAGACCGCCCTGCTCACAGCGGCAAGTGGCCACGCACGCCCACGGGACCAGACAGAGAAACCGTCAGATGCCTCCTGCCAGAGCCGGTCCCCGGGCAAGCCGGGGCTCCGCAGCACCCTGCCCCTTCCACGCGCGTCCCAGGGGGCTGGCTCGCGCCACGGCCGCCTCCCCGCCTTTTCCCTAAGTGCCCGATTAACCAGGAAAAGCTCCAGCGGAAGCAGGAACCCATCACCGCTCCTTAACACCCAGGGCAGCGCGTTTTCCCCGCGTACCCGACCGCTAACGCCTGCCTGGCGGGGACGCAGCCCCGACGAACGGCGCCTCGCCCGCCCGCGTTGGCTTACCACGGAGAGCCCGGCACTGGCGTGGATGCCACGGGCTTGTTGCCGTTAGACGTGCTGTCATCCTCGCCGACTAGTTTGAAAGAGTGATCCTTGGGGGGGAGAGAGAGATCAGTCACCAACGGAAGCCGGCGCAGAAGGCTGTTACTGTTGTACAAATCACTGCCTTTAACTCGGATAACTTTAATGCCCGTACCGCCATTACCGCACCCGCAGCTTTATGAACAACCAGCCACCATGGGAATAGCCCAGATCAACGGGAAATAATAAAAATGCCGCCCTGCTTATGGCAATAGCGATGAAAAACCAGCCCATGTGCTTCCGTCCGGGCCAAGCGCTCGCTCGGGGCAGCCGGAATAACTCCGTGCATCGCCGCCTCATCCGAAACGAAGGGCAGGGAGTGCCGCCCGCCCTAACGAGGGGCATGGCAGGCAGGAGCGTGCTGCCACTGCGGAGCCGTACGGTGCGGCTGACGGGCACAGTTTTACCAGCCAAAGAGCTGCTATTACTGTAGTCGCTTACGGACACGAAGTGGGGAGGTGTGGGGGGAAGGCAGCGATCTGGCTCAGTGCGGCGTCAAAGCACAAGCAGCACGTAGTTCATTAAAAAATAATAAAGCATACGTCCCGAGGAATTCACCCTGGAAATATTTTACAACTTAAAAGTGCGAAGGAATGTGCCCGAGTACCAAGGCAGCTGGAAACGCGGGGAAGACCCTGGTGGGCAGGGCAGGTTTGCTTGCACGGAGCCTAAAGAGTGCGATAGGAACGGGCCAAAGGAAAATAAACCCAACAGCAGCTCAGGCCACAGGTCCTGCTCCTGCAGGACAGAGCTGCTGCTGCAAAAGGCCCGTGTGCATGGCGCCGAAATCATGTAATCATGGAATCGTTGAGGTTGGCAAAGCCCTTTAAGCTGCCCCAGCCCAACCGTTCCCCTACCCCTGCCATCCCACCCCCAAACCCTGGCCCACCGCCTCTGCCTGGCTGTTAAATCCCCCCAGGGCTGGGGACTCGTCCCCTTCCCTGGGCAGCCCCTTCCCGTGCCTGACAGCCCTTTTGAATGCGGGGGAACAGACCAGGCCTGCTCCAAGGCTTCGAGCATCTTCCACGCTGCCGCTTTCTGAGCTCAGGATGCTCTTCCGCACCCCCACACTCAAAGGTTCCCCTCCTTCAGCTTTAGCCGCTTGCTGAAGTCTGCACGAGCTGTGCAGAAAGCAAATATTTCCATTTATCTCATGGAAGCAGGGAGTGTGATTCAGGGGCCCTTCCTTCATAATCCAGGCTTTTTTATAAAGAGCTCACGAAGTCACACACATGCAGGCCTGCCCATCCGCCAGCTGCGCACGCTATCTGCCACCCGCTTACATTCACCCGCCAGTTTTATTTAAGGACTTCCTGGTTTTGAGGCCTGACCTCGAAAAGGTCTTTTAGTGCTTTGGTTTGTTTTTTTTTTTTTAACGGTTGGACTCGATGGTCTGAAAGGTCTTTTCCAACCTAGACGATTCTATGATTCTATGACTTTGCAATCGCCTGTAAAGGAAGACTGCAGAAGTGCGTGGCACAGTGAAATTCGTAACACCCAGAAGGTGGAGGCCATGAAAAAATTCCTCCTGGCGCCTGGGGTCGATGTTGCGACCAGCAGCGGGATGGCCAGCGAGGGGATCCTGCTCCGAGCAGGGGCAGCCCCAGCTCCGCA